AAGCTCCTTACCAAGCTGAGTTATTAAAATAACTATACTGTAGAAATTCCAACCAACGAAACAATAGCCAAGATGTGGGGGGTGCGCTGTTTTGTTGTTCGGCTCATGGCAAGTCATTGTTTGCAGACATAAGTACAACATTTAGATGTGACTGTGTATCCATGCCAAGCCCTCTGGTTAGAGAGGGGCCTTTGTGGTCTCGAGGGTATCATGCCTGTTGTACCAGAGGACCTCTATCTAAATTCAACAGCTGCTGCTGAAACCGTTCATCCCTCTTTTTTCTTTCTTTCACTGCCTCTTGTTAACTCATCTTCTTGCCTTCAGTCGATCTTGATTGTATTTCCTTCTTTTTGTCTTTCTGTTTTTGTTCCTGTTTATGCTGATTATATGTCTAGATTTATCTACAACAGCTCAGGCTTGTTTTTCACTGCCAATAATTCTCACAGTTTCTGGTGTTTTTAATTCTCTCTTGGTCTATCTGTCTCTTGGTCTCTCGCTCTTTGCCTGCAACCCACCACCTCTTTTGTCTCCTGGCAGACAGCAGCAAATTGCAGGCTGGACGGGGCATGTGGGTGTTTGACATCACACACAAAGCTGAGTGCCATGTACACTTTCTGCATGTACAAGCATCATTTAATATATTATTAGCACACACACACACACACTAACAGATTTAGAAAAAAATGTGCTCCCTATTCCAGCTTTCGACGTGCATGCACATAACTGAAAAGACATCCGTTAAATTACACAATCAAACAAACAAGTATACCTGCTTAAACCGACAGGCAGAGAGATGGACACGCAGATAGAGAGCTTACAGACTGTCTTGTACATTTATGCTATTATTATTTTTATACAGTGCAGGATCAGATTAATGTTTTAAAGGTGGAGCCAACGGAACAAATGATTGGCAAAGGGCTGTTTTTCATCCAGCTTATATAACTGACTCATTTTATTCACCCCAATGAAGACCACATCATGATCCCCCCCCTGTTGTTTGGTATGGTTTGCATGAGCCCACTGTGTGCACATTACAAATGACTCATTGGATGCAGATTCAGCCCTAATCACGTCTGATGGAAAGCTTGTTTGTACCTGCAGTTGTGATTACAGCACTTCACAGCAATCAGTTCAGCTTATTAAGAAATGGAGGAGAAATAATATTTTAAATCGAAGATTGGATTCTGCCAAACTGTCTCCGCTGCCACAAACTAATTATTGTATGCACTGTAGAGAGGGAAGTCACTGTGGAAATGTCAACACGCAATGTCTTACATTGCAGTAATGCTGCCTGATATTCAGCTACAGCTTTTGGGAGTGGCACAAATTGCCTTTTTCTGTTTTTACTTTTGACTTTTTCTTATAAAATAGGTTAAACAGAAGCACTGAGTGGCAAGAAAAAAACATCTATTTTCTTGGCAGTCTCATCTACTATATGTTAATACTGTATATCAATTCAATATATTGGTCTTGTAATATTTACTTTAAAAAGTGTGGAAAAAGGTCAAACTATTTAGATAGTCTTTTTCTTAATTTTTGTTGATTTAATGTGTCATTTGAAAATAATAAACAGCAAAACAGAGATAAACACCAAACTGCAGTGGCTATAGACTGTGGTTAGGTTAAGCTAACTGCCGGGATAGCCACAGCTAGCCTTAGCGAACGCTAACTGACCATCACCTTTGTTCTGTAATTTAAAAGTACATTTTGATTCTTCAACATCTCAGTAAATGAGGTTGTTCTTCCACATAAATAAGGCAATGGCTGAATCTAATAATAACACAGGGGGGAAATGAATGGCAGAAAAACAAGTCCTGCTCACTAGCCTAGCTTAGTGTAGCGGTTAACTGACTCCAGTTGAATTAATGTGTTTTGGTTTATTTCATTCGTAACAAACACGAGCGGTTAGCCTACTCCGCTCGGAGTGCGGCCGTTTGTGCTCACTCTGTGCATGCAGCAATTCCAGCCGACACTGACTGAATCATAGATATGCTCTGAATTCCATTTGTATCTTATTTAAAAACAAAACTTTTAATGCCACAATACCACATATAGTAAAAGTCCAGCTTTCAAATGTTTATTTCAAGTGGAGATTCAAAGTGAGGCATTATCCACACAATGTAGTTAAATTTAGCTACGGTTACTTAGTGTCTGTTTTAGGCGGAGCTTTCAATGCAAATATAATGCTGGATAGTTTATTGAATAATACTGCATCATATTTTGTTATATTTTGCAGGTCAAATCTAAACCTGCAACTTAACCAGTAACATTTATCCGTCAGGTAAATGTAGCGGAACTACAATGTATGTACACACTCAGTATACAATTCTGTTGCTAATTATTTAAGGGCTTGCCTTTGGGGGCCCTTGGTAAGTTATTTTTGGGGTAACATTACAATGAGTTAGATTGACATAATTCAATATTTTCATATAAACATCATAATAAATCTATAGCTGTTTTGGGCCCTTATAGTTGGGGGCCCCCAGGCAGTTGCTCACTTTGCCTAACAGTAAAGTCTGTCTGTGTATATTTTTTCCTGTGAACCAGAGTGTATTTCACTGGTGTACCTGACCGTGAGTAGCCGCAACTTGGGTATGTGACGCAACTATGGCACGGCAGGTGTATTGAAGGGTAGTGTTGGGTGTGCAGTTGTTTGTAAGAGCGGTCTTGAGAAAGCAGCAAGCACTGCATTAGTATAAATAATACAACTTTTACTGTGACACATTATTACCCCCTACAATGCTGAAGTATTGTGCACAAATTGGCAGAAAGGCATACAAAGCGTTAAAATTGTATGCGACTACAAAACCAGCACATATGCTTGTGGATTGAAAAAGGAACGTGATAAACTGTGATTTAACGTGGCAAAAGAATACATCCTTCCATGCCAGGAACAGAGCTTATTATTCAAGCCACTGTTGTGTGCACAGGGATTTTGTGTCAAACTTGTTGTTGAATGTGTCATTTAAAAGACTGAGAAGCAGCGAGGCCCATATGTAATACTTTGAGGTGCAGGGGATTATGGATGTATTATATCCCAGACCGCTGGTGCAAACATAATCACAGTTTAGAGCATCCTCCGGAGATGTATGGCTTTTAAGTAAAGGGCAGAGAAATGTAACTTTCTTTACAGTAGATTATGTAACAGTAGATGCATGGCAATTTGTGAGCAGAGTAAGACCAATAACAATATATAACAGCAGGGTGGTGCAGGACTCACAGAGCTTGTATAGATTTAATGACCTGCTTATGTAACGTGATGCTCCCACTTTCTTTTCACTATACAACCCTCTTGACAATAAGGATAGAAAATAAAACTGCTGCTTTGTGGCCAATGTAAATCTTTTTCATTACACAGTACATCCACATTACATAAGAAACTCAAAAGATGAAAGACCATTTCAAAAAGTCTGCAGACTTTCTGTAGGCGTGACGGAGACATAAGTCACTTTTCCTTGGTTCATTATGGGTCAAGAGCAAAATAGAGCTCCAAATTCTGGTTGCGTTATGTCCCCCGCAATGTTTAATAAGTCTTACTTGAAGTGAAATGATGCAATTTGATGCAATGCACATTTTGACAATCGAACAAATAAATCGGGGTGTCTGCATGGTTACGCGGTTGTGACCGTCTTGGTTTGGCTGGGAACCTTTTGTTGCACGTCATTGCCTGATCTCTCATGTTATTATCTCTGTCTCTCTTGACTGTCATGCTGTCAAATCATTAGAAATATGCCTTTAAAAAAACCCGAAACAAGCTAAATTTATTTCACTGGCTTGCATGGAAACGTTCAGAAAAGTTCTGTCAATATTTGCCATTAATGCTCAAAGTGTTAGCTATGCAACACAAAGAGCAGAGAGAAAAAATGTCAAGGTTAGATAGCCTCCTCTACAGTTGATGTCTGCGGGGTTTGTGGGCGGTGCAGGCTGTCTGCACAACTGCACAAACTGCTTCTGTGAATTTGATACGCATCCCTCTAGCCACCCACACACAGTGCCTACTAGCAGTCAGACATATTTTATTTAGGAAACTAGACTGCTCTCAGTCACTATCTTCACCACCAGTTCTTGGCTGACGTGTGACTTAATATGTTGTACGGAGCGGTTGACTGAATACCTGAGCGAACTGGCTTTTCAGCGGAATGATGCATGCTGGTTAATTAATTGGTTGAGTGGCAACTCAAGTCTGTGTGGGTTCAATTAGTATATCTCTGGTTGGCTGTGTGATTTGTTTCATGGCTTATAATCAGCTGGTTGGCTGACTTCACTAACAAGCTGCATTGCTGTCTGACAGCCTTGTTTACTGACACAATGATTCAATAAAAAAAGGGACATTTTCCCCCTCTCTGTGTTATTCTCTTGTGCTGTCTTTCCACATGCCATCGCTGGTTTCAGGTCATGTACTTTCTTCTGCACTCTGCATTTCCCCATCCTCTGCTCTACTCCTACACTCTATTTCTCCTCTCCACTGCATCACTTTACTCTTCAAGTCCTTGAACACTGCCTCTAATGGCTTCACCTCAGATGTGATCTCTTTCTCTGTCTCCCTGGGGGTCGCACAGCCTTTTACCCAGCGCTTCACGCTGCACCGCGCTCATTCAAAACAGCCACTGTCGCACAATACCACAAAATACACACAAATATAATCAGACACAAGTACAGGATGCATACCACTCAAAGAAAACAGATGGGCCTCTTAATGTGATATGCGTTGCTATTCAGGGCAAAGACCCACAGATGGACACAGCGTCCATGAAATAAATATTGATGTGGCACTTTTTTACAGTGGCAATATGGCAATATAATGTTTTAGTGATAAGCATGATGTGTGAAGTCTCCATCGCTCTCTCTAACACACCCATGTGGTCTCTGCTTCTCAAACTTCCCAAGGCAGAATTAACAGGGAGTCACAGGGGCGGATGAGGTGTTGACAACAATCTAAAACTGTCTCTAAACTGTCTGTGATGTCGTGTAGCTCACTGTGTTTGTGTTACTCTTCACAGGGGAAGTCCTATGTGTTTGACCAGGTGTTCCCCACGAACACCACCCAGACACAGGTCTACAACACCTGCGCCAAGCAGATTGTCAAAGGTGAGTTACATAGACGGGGTTTCCTTTTTTACTTCCCAGATGCATGAGTGACAGCCAAAAGAGAAAGCCAATACACCTTGAATCGACATATCCTTGGGTTCCCCTTACCAGAGCTGTCTGTTTACGCTCTTTTCACTGACTGCATGCATTAACAGCTTCTTACAAGAAGTGCGAAATGTGGTCACACGACTTACAGGCATGAGCATCGACATGCACAAATAACAAGATGCATGCTTATCACAGCACAGTGGGACCGGCGTATCCAGAGGTCCCGAGATCAAACGAAACCAAGCGAGAGTGGAATCTTTCTTTTCTTCATACCTCCCTCCGTCTATCTCTTTTCTACCCTCCGTCTTTATATCGTTTTTGTGCTCACTTTCAAAGTGAGTGTGGTATTCCATTCAACAACTCTAGATGGAGCATGAAAAAAAAGATTGATTTGGTGGGAGACATTATTTACAGACTGGGAGATTACCAAGTAGGTCAAGGAAAGACAAAATAAAAAGGCGAGATGAATCGCTGTGCAGGGTTGGAAATGCATTGGTTAGGGATGCAGCAAAATGAAGGAATGGGATTTGAAATGTGTCAGGGGGAAAAGGGTAACGGAGCAAGGCCAGAGAAAGCTGGTTTGCAGACACATCCATGTTTACACTTTCTCTCCTTTTTGGTCTTTCTGGCTGTCAGTTTCTCTCTGTTTTGCAGTCTTTCCTCTCTTTCTCTTCCTTTCTGTGATTCCCTTTCGCGGGTGTTCTCTGATCTTATTTCGGCTGTCTTTATATCCAGACAGATTGTTAATTCTTTGTTCTATGATGTGTCCTGCTCTGTTTGGTTCTCACTATAACCAGTGCGGAGGCGGTGGAAGATATGTTGCTGAGCTTAGAGTTGTGGTAGAGTTGTGCTTCAAGTTGTAGTGTAGAGTAAAGGCAACACAGGAGAGGAGGAGAGGGGAGGAAAGGTGCCTCTGTGTTTTAGCTGAAAGCCTTTATGATTAGTCTGTGGTCAGATAACCTGTGGCAGTCGGCCTTCTAGGGTGAAGTGTTTTTCTTTAATCTATATTTGACTTTTACCTTAGGGGTTTATTGGACTGTGTCAGCAATATGACAAACAGCAGTGTGCTCCTTTATAACCTCAACTGGTGAGGACGTGTTGTTTTCACTGCAGCTCCTATCAGATGACTGGAGAGAGAGATAAATATATCTGTACTTGCTTGGTACTTCACTGAGTGCCTCCTGGTGAATTCAAGCAGCAGGTATGATGTTTTTTTTTTATTGTGTACAGCCACAGAGGTCATTCAGCAACTAACCAAGCTTGAATACCATTCACCTCTTAGTGCACACACACTTTATGTGGCGCAGTCTGATCTGTCTTTGAAACAAAGGTCAAAGATAATTGTCTCTGTGCTTTTCTGCCTTCCTGTCTTATTGTTTACATACCTGGCTGGCTGAAATCTGAAATTCTGTCAGATGTATTCTTTGGTTTGGCACTCTTACTGCCTTTTTTCATTTTCATATAGTTTTCTTCTTTCTTTAAAATGCTCTTTGTGTCTTTCTTTTTTTAATTATAGATGTACTGGGTGGTTACAATGGGACTATCTTTGCCTATGGGCAGACTTCTTCTGGAAAAACGCACACCATGGAGGTACAGTATGATTAAATAATTCAAAATGTAGACCACTTGCTGTGGTCCACACACACACACAGACAAACATTTGTTAAGAGTATATCCTCATCTGCTCTCCTCTGACAGTACATCTCACTCCATCACTGTCATCGCTCACTATCTTTCTTTCCCAGCCTTTTGTGGCCACTAACCTCCTTTACAACTCTCTCTGGGAAACAACCCTGCTCCCTTTCAAGTCCAAAGCCTCTCTGCTCTCCTTTCTTTTACTATTCTCTCCACTTAATTCATCACACACATGTTCTTATCTCCTCTCTTCAGGGCAACCTTCATGATGCCCAGGGAATGGGAATCATCCCCCGGATCGCAGAGGACATTTTTGAACATATATTTGCCATGGATGAGAATCTAGAATTCCACATAAAGGTTGGTGTGAATTTCCATATGTGGCTGTTAATGTATGTATTTGTGCATTTCTCACTTTTTACGATTTTTATGATGCGTTCAGTGGGAATTCAAACTGGGCCTCTGACGTAATCCTCACATGGATGGGCTGAGTGGAAGCAGCCAAGCATCAATAAATCATGATATATAAACCTTGATAATCCTACTACAGTTGTTGGGCTTTTTGCCTTTTACACAACAGTCTTCTGATGGTGGATAAAACCTCGCCGGACCCACTGGATGACAGATTACTGCGACATCATTTTGCATATTTGCACAATGATTATCCGTTGCATCATTTCTCTATCTGTATCAATTTGTTCTGCCTGTCCTCTTTATTCCAAAGATTACCCGCCACATGTTTTTTGTCTTTTGCTACAGGTCTCCTACTTTGAGATCTACATGGATAAAATCCGGGACCTGCTGGATGGTGTGTTAATGCATTGAACACATGGCTTTGAAACAGTGAAATCACAACTCGCATGTGTTAATACTGTACAGTTTCCTTGCAGTACACAGTTGAAGATTTCAAACTCTTATAGCTAAACCTAGATGCATATGGATACACGGTGATGTTGTCATGAAGGGTGTCAAAATCATTATGAGAGAAAAAAGGAGCTGAGAGAAAAACATATTACCATGCAGTATCAAGTGATGGACTTCTTTTGCACTGTCTTTCGACCCTGAGGCTACATACACTCCTACCTTATTAATGGAGGGTGTTGGCACTGTATGCAGCTTGAGAGGAAGACTGCAGACAGAACTCAGGGCTGATAAAAGACTAACATGGTCTGTCTCTTTTGGGGGTAAAGAAATATATGTTTTTATTTACAGCTAAGATTATATTGTCCTAAAAATAAGCAAGAATTGAACATCAATCAAAAGTAAGGCAGTAAAGCTAAGAGCTTTTTATACTCAGCAAGTAGGTTTAGTGCCTTAACAATACTGAGTTTACATCTCACGGTTTTTATTATGGAAAACACAATACTTATACTTAATACCTTTTCGCTTCAGACCATAACGCTTTGTGGTTTTTAAAGTTATACACACAGAAGCACCACAACATTGTAGTTCATAGTCTTATCACTGAGATACATAACCAGTTTAAAATGATGGAGAGGCCCGGACAAGAAGCTGTAGGCAGCATCCTCGTGGTTTAATCTTTAATCGAGCCAGAGTCAGTGGTGAAAGTCCCCATTTGTATGCAGGGGAGTTACAGCTATGAACATAGTTGACGACAAGCGAGATGAATCGAGGCAGAGAGAACAACACCCTGTGGAGGTATTTGCGAAGAGAAAAAGTGGCTGTAGGGTGATAAAACCCACAAACACAGGCACTCACAAGCACACAGTCTTTAAGAAAAAACAGCCTCCACAATGCTGTGAAATTGAATCATCATCAACAAGACAGGACTTTCCAATGGGAAATGTGAATTTGGGCCAGTAAATGGTTTTGCAAAGAAAACTATTTGTTTTCACTGACAGGCATCTGCTTAATCTCTGTGACTTTGGCAAAGTTCAGTTCCATGAAATACATTGAAAGCTAGACGCTTGTTTTCTCACACCACATTAGCAGAGTCTGACTCACAAAAGGGAACATAGTCAGGTTGGATTATAGTTAAAAACACACATTCGCATGCAGATGCTCATTTGCATCACAGTATTACACAGAGATAATGCTTTGGGTAACACGATGACCTCTTTCCCTTCCATCCTAGTGACAAAAACCAACCTGTCAGTGCACGAAGACAAATACAGAGTTCCTTTTGTGAAGGTGAGTCATCAGCCGTTTGACATGATTCAGTTTGATTTCCCTCCCTCCACTGTGCAGATACCCTATAGTTATGAGATATATGCTTATTATTAATAAGCTATTCTTTCCTAAATGAATTGTGTTGTATAACTGACAGGATGAACTTGATGTGTGAAGTGATTTTGGTTGCTGTATGACAGTAAAGTTAATGAATCATTTTGTAGCATCTCTTCTGCGTGCACTCTGTAGATGGTCCTCACAGCCGGCTGCACATAAGAGACCAATTTTATGTGTCCAGCTCGGAGGAGGACTCGTTTTGTAGTAACTCGTCTTCTACCTTACTATAGTTAGAAAGAGCCGTCGTTTGTGTTTATTCTGGGAAGTACACATCTGTGAATATCTTTCCAACTTTACCGAACTAAAATAGTTTGAGATCCAACCGACTATAACATGGTGAACTGTAGTTTTCACACTTTTTTTTTTGTATAACTTAAACAATCAGAATATCATCTGCTGTTAGGTGGATTTTGTTATCATTTGACAGAGCCAGGCTCGCTGTTTCCTCTTGTTTTCAGTCTTTGTGCAAAGCTAACCGGCTGCTGGCTGCAGCTTTAGGTCAATTTTTCCGTCTAGCTTGCGTAGATGAAAAACAGAAATGTCAAACTTTTGCTTTAAAGTTTGAGAATACTGATTTAAAGTAAAGCAAATGTCTTTTGTCTCCTTTGTAAGACTTATGTGTCTGTTTTGTGCAGACATAAACGTGGGCATTTCTATGTGTAATTTACAGTGGGTTTGGATGTGGGATACAGTGTGTGTGTTGGTGCATGCATTGTATGTATAGATGGTTAATTTGTGTTCTTCACAGCACAAATTAATGTTTGCACGCGTCTTTCTTTCACTAAGGGCTGCACAGAGCGCTTCGTCACGAGTCCCGAGGAGGTGATGGATGTGATAGATGAAGGAAAGGCCAACCGGCATGTTGCTGTCACCAGTGAGTCACACTGTTGATCTCCGCTGTTTGTACACTCTGTCAGGCGCTTCATGTCGGATTTTTTTTTCCACACACTTTCAAGGTACAAAGGTGAGAAATGTATGATGAGGTGCTAAGGGAACGTCTCTTTACAAGTCCATCTCGGGAAAATAATGAATCGAACGGCATTTTATGCAAGGAGTCTGAATAAGAGTCTCTCGTCTCCTCACTTTATTCTTTAGACATGAACGAGCACAGTTCCCGCAGTCACAGCATCTTCCTGATAAACATCAAACAAGAAAACGTGGAGACGGAGCAGAAGCTGTGTGGGAAGTTGTACCTGGTCGACCTAGCTGGGAGTGAGAAGGTAGGACAACTGGGGAATTTTCTCTAAAAACATTAAAAGTATATAGAGCTTTGCACCGCTATAAACTCTCAACATTCACTGTCAGCAGGATTTTGTAACTCTGGGACCAGACGCATTTCTCCATCTGTTTTCAGACATCAAAGAATCAGATAATCAATGCAGTGAAGCTCTGAACTTAACCCTTGAAGCCTTTTAATTAAAGCACTCCCTTTATGCTACTGCACTGAATTTTAAAGGATCTGTTTTAGAAGGCTTGGTTTAGTCTGTCGCTGATGTAATGTCAGGGTTAGTGTTTGCTCACTTTGAGGAATCCAATTGGTTCTGCTGATGGAGACAGAAAATTGTTTTCTGAGAAATAATAAACTATTTTCATCCGTACAGATAAGCTCTAAAAGGGGGTTTCAGTCGAGATAGAGGTCATATTGAGGGGAGCCACAAACAACTAATTGTCCCTTTGTTTCTAGGCCTTTTAGGTGAAACTCGGTGATGAGTCAGCTCGCATCATTGCACCATCTATAAAACAATGTATCTCCAGGACATAGGTCATGCTCTAAAAGACCGAAGACAGAAAGACAGAAAATACATTTAGAGACAAGGCTGAACATGGTCCTTGGCTCCTGGCTGTAGTCTAGTGTTGATGGTATTGATGGTATAGAGTAGTGTGCGTTTAGAGTAGTAGATGGTCATAACGTCTGTATAGATGCTGAAGGCTAATAAGTGCTGATGGTGCATCTGTAAGTTGTCTTGATCATCCCTGGGGGTGAAAAACTTCATAGACTGAGACAAAATATTATTGACTGAGCAGGACGCTGGTGCATGCTCCACAGAAGGCTTTGATAAGACAACTCGCTCTCTATAATTAAGCTCCTCCTTGTCTATCCCCTGACGATTATGACACAGTATAGTGTGACTTTCCTATTAAAGTATGTCTGGCATATAGCTCCTCAAACACCTTCTGACAATTTACAATATAATGCAGAAATGCTTTTTTTGTTTACAGGTCTGTAATTTCCTTCCTTCCTTCCTGTTTCCCAAAAAGAAATACATGTAATTTTGCTGATATAATTCTCATATTTTTGCATGCTTAACTGACCTTCTGTGCACTAATTAAAAGACTCTCTTGGTTAAGCTGGCAATTCATTATAATTGATTAATTGGAAGTGTGCCAACTGAACACACTGCTATCTTTATATAGTTATTACCAGGAACCTTCTTATGAATTCATAGTTACAAATCATTTTGTTTGTTAAACTTAACTACAGGACCTGTAAAATATAACATTGCAGGAAAATAAACGTGGTTTTTCCCACTGACGTTTTTATGCTGATAATGTACTTTATAAACCAATTCCTGCTGTGTGTGTGTGTGTGTGTGTGTGTGTGTGTGTGTGTGTGTGTGTGTGTGTGTGTGTGTGTGTGTGT